GGCGTTAAAAGATCTAGGTGCCGGTTAGAGAAGGTGTTTCCAGCTGCAGCAGAAAAGTGGTAAGTGGAACTAATTTTGAGTCTCTATTAACAACTTTCAATAACCACTCCAAGAAGAGAAGAAAGAAGACTTCGTTCAGACAATAGTTTAGTCGAAGGCACGGTAATTGTATTAGGCGTGAGCAACTTCAAACAAATTTCATTTTCCCTTAGCAAATCTCTGGCAGACTTATCCGAATATTTGTCTTTACAACTATCCAAATCTACGTCTCGTAGATAGGATAGACGGCCAATTTACCGCCACCAGGTGCGAAAGCTGAGAAAATCTTTATTATTGGGGAGACTATTTCATAACTACGTATGCTCAGCTAGACCAATCGCACCGACCAAACATCCTCCCAGGCGCAGTAATAATTTTTCCGGGAGTGTGAGCGCGAGGGTACTATGTATGCATGCATTTGAGAGTGAACGAGATATCTATGTCAACTGATTTTCCCTTCTTAAACTTACAGTCTACTCCAGGTTAGAGCAGAATTGGGAAAAACCGTTATTTACAAATAACAGTTTCAGCTGTTACTATTATTTCCAATTGGCCCTCCACCCAACTTAGCGGGTATACATACGTTCATAGTACCTATAAGTGCTACTCAATCCCACATATTCTGTCCTTTAGAAAATAAGTTGTGTCTGGCGGCTCTGGGCTCTTGGACTATCATGAGTCATGAGTGAATCCCCTGTGAAAAAGATTTTTTTAAGTAGGTAAAACGCGTCCTGAAAGTATGAACTTTCAGAACCGTTGCTAAAAATCCTCATTTTGTTACAAAAATAGCTATTTGTCTGTTAACTCTCGAAAATTTTTCCGCCTACGAATTTGCCATGCGTCATTTTGCCCTAACCTCCCCCTCAATGAATTTATTTATATATTTATCTATTCATATTGATACCTACTATCGCTGATTGCTACTACTTTCAAACACCAAGTACCTATGGTACTTACATGTAACAGGGAATAGACTTAAAGGTTAAGAACCAAAACTAGGAACTAAGAATCATAAGATGCTGCATGCTGCATTGCTATAGGCAATATCATTTTTAATAGTTTGCAGATAAGTACTGAATATGTCTATATTATTCCTATCCAGAAACTTATTGCACATAGCTCGCATGTGATTATAGAAGGATTATCTTTATGCATATAGAATAATCCATTATTAATATACCTATAAGGTTAATTGAAATGGATAAATATTTACTCCTTGACATGCAGGTCCGTAGGAATCTTTTTTGTACTTTCTCAATCTTGTTGACATTAGACACAGCCTGAGGGGCCCAGATAACAGGCATATTCAAGATGTGGTCTAACAAGTGTATTATACAATAACTGTTTCAATGTTTTAGAAATTTTTAGAATTTCTCACTACAAATCCTAGTACCCTGATGCTTTATTGACAATTTAATCATAGTGAATATTAAATTTTAAATTTGTTTGCAAATGCACTCCAATGTAATCTTAACTTTTTAAAAAACGTTTACTGAATAAAAGTAAATATTGCAACCATGTATTGCTCAGTGAAATTCATGAAAACGTGAGCGCGCCGCAACAGAAAAAGTACCAGTATATACGAAGGGGAGATCAAGAATACGCAACTAGACTAGGGAAAAAGCTGAACGGGTCTCTTTAGATGCATGTCTGTAATTATTCATTATTCAATTTCCATTTTATTTTGCATTAAATTGGATTGTTCAATCCAATTTGTTATTAGTGTGTGTGTCAAGGAGCCATTACAGGTCGGTTGAATAATCGTTATTTTGTTTTTGAAAGTTCAATTATTTATACAAGTATAATTTTTTTTCATTTTCATGTATTTTTGTTTGTTTATAACATTTAACATGTGCATTGTTCATGTATTTAATAAAAATCGTTTCATGCTGTAAACAACACAGATAAAGAGTAAATTAAAACCTAAGAAATTATGTGCTGTCTTTTTGTGCTGAGATTTCGATTTTGTGTATTCAGAGCGTGTATTAGGGCCTTGTTGAATTTACTAACATTTTCCTACCCTGACGAGAGAATATCCTAAACAAATTGAAATAATCAATCTAGAAATATTGACTCAAAAACAACTATAGCTGAGTAGCTTCCCGTATGGGACCTCAGTACCTGCTGGGAAACTGGCTAACTAACCTTTTTCAGTATTGAATATAAGTATTGTTGATTGAATGTAGTGTGTGTAATTGAAATTTTGGCACAAGAACAGAGGCGGTACCTAATTTAAACTTTTATTTACTTAAATTATTGAAATAATGACTCACAATTATTATTAAAATGACAAAGTATGTTTCGATTTTTGAGGAACTTTAGATCGAGGGTTTCTCTACTGTGCTCTTTCTCCTCGTTAGTTCCAGGATGAGAACGGTACGATTTACTTCAATATTATAGTAGACGTTTCACAAATATTTCGTTTCTTTTACATATCACAACTTCCCTTAAATTTCCCAAATATTTGCTATGTCCAGTAAGTAAAATTGAGTAGGTTTTCACAACGTTGGTCCTATTTATTTTTCATTTCGTTTCTTAGAAGATTTGTTGTTTAGAAGGTAATAAAAATTCTCATCGTTCAATCTTACTGAACGAACCCGGGTATGTTATACTACACTACCTCTTGTAGTTTTGCATTATTTAAATAATAATAAAATTTTATTGAATTGAGCCTCTGAGTGTAGGACATGGTTAGGTATTTTTCTGTATTAAAAAGCATTTTGTTTTTTTCAAACCAATGTTTAATTTGATTCAAGCCTTGCTGTAGTAGGTGACAGTCTTCTACTGTAGTGATTGTTATAAAGACCTTGAAATCATGCGCAAAGAGAAAGTATTCTGAATGTTGGACTTCTTAGGAATTCCGATTTATCAGGTTGGATTTTTGTAGTCGTTGAAATACTGATTTCAGGTTTATCATGGATTCTTGTAAGGAGGTTGAGTAGACAATCATGTCGTCCATATATACGAAGCATATTCGGTTTTGTAGGCCCTTATAAGGACACCGTCCATAACATTTGAAATGTGGCCGGATCGTTCTTGAGACCGAAGGGCATTCTGACATATTCGTAATGCCCATTCTCGACATTGAATGCGGTCTTTTTTTATGTCGTCGGGATGCATTTGTATCTGATGGAATCCACTCGCGAGGTCTAGGGTAGAAAATTATTGGCAACGGCCTAATTTGTCGAGTATATCTGTTATGTTAGGTGTCGGTAAATCATTTATAAAAATCACAAAAAGTAGTGGCCCTAAGTTACCGCCCCTTAGGAATAATTGATGTTGGAACCTCAGACCTATTTGCCAGGAAACAGAGGAATCAAAGGCAATGGAAAAGCTGATGAACTCGCAAAGAGAGTGTCAGAGACAAAACTTATTTGGCCAGAACCAAATCTAGGGATACCAAAACTTATGACTAGAAGCCACATCAAAGACTGGAACATCGGCGACACTGGACAACTTCCAGGCAGAACCATGGTAAAGAGTTCGTCGACCAACCATGTAGAAAAAGGGAACTGCTACAAATGAGCAGGAGCAGACTTATTAGAACCAGAACGGGACTCTTGACTGGCAACACACCACTAAAGGTCCACCTAACCAGGATAAACCTGTACGACAGAAACCTTAATTGCAGACTATGCAATAAGGAACCCGAGACAGCCAGACACATCCTGGTGAACTACGAGGCACTGAATCGCAGTAGACACAGCATTTTCGGACAACCAAATGTAGAACCGGAAACAATTAATAATGAAACATCACGCAGTAAAAGACCTGTACAACCTCATACAAAGCACAAAAATACTGGAGTGGTGTCGCGCAATAAGCTTTTCTTAGCTTCGGCGTCTTTTTGCCTTCTAAAGTCTTGGAGTTCAGCAAAAAGCGAGCGTAGAAAATCAAGCTCCGTTGCGTTGTTAAAGTCGGAATCTAATACGGCCGCAGGAATTGGGCCTTAACTTAGAATCATGTCTTACTCGTCTAGAGTGGCGCCGTATAGGTCTGGACTGTATCTGTCCGTCATTTTTGTAGATTGCTTGAAGTCAGTTTAGTTGTTTTTGGGGTGAAATAACAATCCTTTTTGTTTTCCACGGGTGTTTGTACAACTTCTCAGTTGTACTGAGAGCCCAAAAATCGTCGAGGACGGACACGGGGGGCGGAAACCTTTGAAGAAGATGTCCAAAAGTAAAAGTGACAAACGCGGGGGAGGAGTCTGAGTCTAGATCTTCTAGACCGATAGTTGCACGAATGTGCCGAATTTGAAACGCGAGGCTCAATTAAGAACCAGAAATCAAAAGAATTTTCTTTTTCTTCCAGACAATTGCCCTGAAAAGGACTTCGTCGGGGATTTGTGGTAAGCTAATGCGAAGTACTCCCCCAGGACACCTCCAGTGCGAGGATTGATGCGGGTTTCCTTGCGACGGAAGCGTTACTTCACGCCCGAGGGACTGTATCGTTTCTTTCTTCGTACCTATGAAGGTAGCTCCCACCGACAACGCAATGAGAGGCTCATCTGCCGGCCACATAAAGTAATCCCTAAGGCAAGGGGACCCACAACAAAGCGTTGCCAGCCTATTACGCGCTCCTAAGTACCAGGTACATGTCATGACGGCACTTCTGTTGAACAAATGAGGGGAGAGCTGTTCTTGTCTCTAGCGTAGAGAACGAGGCAGACAGGCGAGATGAAGTCTCAGTCACTGCCTGGAGAGAACTGACTGCTTTGGCCTGAAAACGGCTGTGTGCATTTGGCGATACTTTTCACAAGCTCCTCCCACACCATAAATACGCAACAGTGGTTGGAATAAACCACACAGGCTAAGTACAATGAGCCTTCTCAGGCTTCAGTGCTACATGGAGACAATAAGTCGGACAGGCCTGGAACCAGGGGAAAAAAAGCCGAATTCACAATAAAATTCGATTATACCTTATTGGTAAAAACAAGAAAGCTTCAACCTGTATGATCTCACCTCAAAAACATATTCTCGTCCCCATTCTTCAAATAAGTGAACAACAGTTTAGCAGAAGGCACAGTAATGGTATTGGGCGTGAGCAATTTCAAACAAATCTCATTTTCCCTCAGCAAATCTCTGGCAGACTTATCCGAATATTTGTCTTTACAACTATCCAAATCCACGTCTCGTTTTTCCAATATCAACTCGATTACTCCTAACAATCTATACCGTATCGCTATAATTAGAGGAGTTTCGTTCCAAATATTATTATGATTGACATCAATACCTATAAAATAAAGCTTTATTAGTAATTGAATTATTTAATAATAAGTCCTTACCTGCTTGTATCAATATCCTGGCACATTCAACAACTTCAGGTCTTTCTTCTGCAAGTACATGACAAATTCTGCTTTCCCAGCTATTGGATAATTGAACATTGAACGATTCGGTACGTTGACCGTACTCCAGAAGCACGTGTAAAGCGTTTTCTGATAAAATCGACAAAACATTTAGTCTGCCTACTAGTTTCACTATAACGGCTAGTTTTCTGGCATTGGTGTGAAACGCTGCAAAGTGTATGGGTTCCCAATAATACCAATGTTGTTCTGTGAAATCTAAATGGGCGAAATTCCTTGTTACGTATTCGAATAAGCATTCGAAAGTTTCTACGGAGATTTGAGGGTCTATACAAGCTATGGTTAGGATGTTTCTTTGGCCGATGGTGTGGTTGTGTTTACGAGTAAAATCTTCTTCGTTTGCTTGATTAAGAGCATTGTTGAGGGTGTGCGGATTGTTTTGGAAGAGCAATTCTAGAAGGGTCGGTGGTGCGTTGACTGGACCGTTTTGTTGTTGATGAGCAATTAATTGTTGGAGTTCAGTGTCTGCCATTTCAACCTATTAACGCATTATAAGGTGTTCTGTTTACTGTTTGATATTATTTTTTTGCTTTTGCACCTTCACCTCTGTGCATAAAGAAGATATTAGGTGAAAGTAAAGTATGGAAACCCCAGCTACAAAATATTTATTAGGTACCTACTTTATTCAATAGAAATGCAATTTCTGTTCCATAGTCCTACTTCAACTATTCCCAGTATAGATAGAAATGGGCTGAGAATCCAGATTTCATTCAAAAAGTATACTTTGCTTTGTGGTACACTCTGTATATTATATACTAGTTTCCATTCCTTGTGGTAGGTACCTCTCCAAACAGGTTTGGGTGCAAAATATAGACAATCATAGTACTAACTCTCATCAGCTTTTTTTTACTTTCTAAGTGATAACAAATTGTTTAATCAAGCTGTGATTAACTTTATCAATCCTTACCTTCAAAAATACATCTCAATAATTAGTATGATTGTTCAACTATGTTTGTTTACTTTAGAATCTCGAATCAAAGTAGCAACCTTGGGATTTTAATGAGCATTTCTTTACATCACGTTCTACCGCATCGACTGCCGGTTTAGCGGTTCGCGATAAACTGAAACTGACTCAGCGAGGTCTAAAAAGTGGAAATATTTATGAAATTACTCGGAGAGATAAAAATAATTTTGATAATCGGTAGTATTTACTTCAAATATTGAGCATCTGAAATCCCAAAAGTTTGTGTATTTTACACCATGATTGATTATAAAAGGTCATTGATTTTGGAGGTTTTTATAGGTTTCTAATAAATAATATGCATGAGACATTGATAAAATAGAGGAAATTTTTGAAATGTTTCGTATCACCTGAAATCTAGTTTCCATAGATTTTAGCTCAAAATTCTTGCATGTAATCTGTTCGAGAAATCCAAAATTTCTAGACTAAATCATGATTGTCACTAGAGAAATCTATAATTATGTAAATATGTATGATTAATTGCCTCTAGAAAAATTACCTTGTAGATCAAGAGCTACTAATAATCACAATTTGAACTTGAACTATTCTCGGCTCTCTAATTGCTTTCTAGAAATTTCTCAATGAATTCAAGAGCCGGTAACAATCAAAATTTGGACTATAAGCGGCTCTTGATTTGCTGGACACTTTTCTAGAAGGAATCTAGTAGGTATCTGTTAGTAATCAAAATTATAATCAGTAGTCCAAATCTTGACTCTAGCGAATCAAAATTTTGTAAAAAACCACATTTGGACTATAACTATATGTATGTCATGATTGTCCCTAGAAAAATTGCCTTGTAGATCAAGAGCCACTAATAATCACAATTTGAATTATTTCAATTTCAAATAAGCTTTATAGTCCAAAAATTTCACAATTTCATTGACAAAGCAAAAAGGAATGTCGTATAATTAATACAATACAATATCCAATAATTTAAACTGAACAAACACAAGGCAAGAACAGTTTAACAGTCTAAAACACGTTACAACATTTACATTAACTAACATTATAAAGTATGTATAACACTATAGCTATCCCATTTTTTGAGTTTTTTGTAAGGGAAAGCTTTGGTAATGGCAGCGGTAGGTAGTTTTGCCTTAAACTGTAGTTCCTGTCTTGTACAAAACCAGAAAACTTTCTATAAATCAGAGAAACTGACTCAAGAATAAAAATGCAGGGCACCGTTAATATTTCTTCCTGTACAAAAAGCGGTCGACAGGTTTCTTTACAGCCTTTTTTACAAAGATAACGAAGGGCCCTCTTTTGTAGCATAAATATGGACTGTGTAGATTTTTGCGTAGAGTAACCCCAGAAAGCTATCCCGTATCTGATATCTGATTCTAGTAGTGAATAATAAGCTGTTTTAGCTTCTTTTTTGCCAAGTTCCTGTACTACAGTTCTAACAATGTAACATCCGCTTGCCAAATGGTCAATATGGGAGTCAAATTTCAGTTTTGTGTCAATGTGCAACCCAAGAAACTTCACGGTTGTTCTATTTGCCAGAATTTCGCTTTCTAGTCTGATGTCAGTCAAAGAGCACTTACAAGTGAGTATGTTTGTCTTTTGTACGTTAAAACACAATTTATTTTTGTCACAACACTTCGTTATTTTGGAGAGATCGTTTTCGATGGTTGGCTGGAAATTATCTAGAGTCTTTGAAGTCCACAGACCGGTAGCATCATCATGAATTCCCGCAAAATTGATTGCAAGGGATTGTAGCAAAACGCCCCAAGTACTCTATGCAATTGGTTAGATGGTAAATGGCGAGCGGTATATTGATAGTGTTTATTTCCTTGGAGCTGCTACCTATAAAATTGTGGAGGGTCTATTCGCAAAAGAGAGAAACAAACTATTGAGGTTTACATACATTTCAACACTTCCGATTCATTATCTATTAAACTACCCTTCACCTATAGGTATCTATAAATTCTTAAAAATTCTTAAGTCCTTTACTTACTGTTTATGCAAAATCAAACTAATTACTTGTTTATTAACATAAGTATTACTAACTTATTCTTATAAAAACCTTCAATAATTTCTACATGAAAAATAAAAACCCTAGTTCAAAATTTCGGCACTTAAGATCATCAATTTTTCTTCATGAACAACAAGTTTCAAATAAACCTTCCAATACTTCTAATAATTATCGACAGCAATTTTATGTCATGGAGAATAACAAGTTTTTTTCCGAAACTTCCCTTTTATTTAATTGTTTATTTAATCAGAACAATAATTACTATTTCCGGATTCCTAGCCAATAAACACAAATGTTTAATTATTAATTCCTACTTAAAATCGTATATTGTAAAGAGCATTCATTATAAATTCCCTTTATATTTTCTTTGCAAAATTAAATTAAAATGTCATTATACTCGAAGGCAATTAAAGTTATGCAATAATGTTCCATAGTCAAAACACTTGAGTTATTAATATTTATGCAATAAAGTCTCAAAGTTAATTCACTTCATAGTCATTCATCATTTAAAAAGTCAAAAAGTTTTACTAGTCAAAATCACTCAAGTTTTTAGGCATTAAAAGTCATTGTCAATTCACTTTTTATCATTCAGAATCATTGTTAAAAGTTAGAAAAATAATAATTACTAAAGTACTTACATTTAAATTGTCACTCAATAAAATACTTATTTGATTACTCAAAAATCTCTAGAGCTCGTACATAATATTGAACGCCTTTAAATGTTCTTTCTTTCACAATATTCCGTATTTTTTCTAAGTTAAATTGAACCCGAGGCCATACGTCATAATAGAAACTTTTTGCGAATTTTAACCGGACTGACACATGTACTGTAGACTTTAACTCAAACTGGACTGGACTGCGAACTGATCTGACAACTCTTTCCACTTCCAAAAACCTCCTGTTTTATATTTTTCGATTCCCCCTCCCAAAGTATTATTAATTATCCACCAAAATCGTCAATGGGCGGTCGTTTGACCATCAATAAGTCAATTCTATTGGCCGACCTAGATATTATCAAAAATAATGATACAATCTATTTGAAATTTTTGTCATTTTTATTTGTTTAAAATCGAATAATTAGGTCGCAATATTGTCGGGTCGGACTTTTGTTAGAAATCCGATCCTAAAGTGAAAATATACTTTTATAATTTCTTACCAAGATCTTACTTGTTTTCTCTATTTAAAACTTCTAATAACCATTAATTCAAAAGAAACTAGATAATCAGTTTAAATCAAATTTATTTGACGATGAGATGAGCAAAACGAAGCAAAGCGAAAATATAATTATTTGATAGATAATTGGATATTGAAACAAATAAGTTCTTACTTGCAAAAATAATGGGATTAAATATAAGGCAAAAATATGTAACTTCTAAATATTACAATTCGAGAAAGAAATAATAAATAAAATACCACTTACGGTGTTGGCGAAAAGTAAATTTTTTCTGGGATGAAGTTGTAGGATTCCATCACTAGTTCAAATAGTTTTACTGAGATGATAATTTCGAAATGCAAACTAGCAGAGTCAGTGTCGTACCATGATTTGTTACCATTTGTACAAAATTAATAAATAACATATGTTTAATCCCTAAAACACAAGTTAGAAAGAGACAATCATAAAACCCGCCCCTCATACAAATCCCTACTCTCCTAGATTTAATCCTGATGTCTTCCCATTAAATTGGTACTACGTCAACTTCCAAAATCCCACCATTCATACAGAGGAGGATTCAACTGGAACTGTTGAGACTAGGCAAGCCATAGAGAAGTTATAACCATAGGCGGAGAATTATTTTTCTGCTGCTGGCTAATCCCCGACAATATTATGATTTATAGGGGTCAACACATCTTTGGTTCAAGAATGTGAGGACAACACAAAGAAGACCGGCACACGTGAGCCATTAATCATCGATTTAATTAGTCTGGCCTCGCTTTCAATAAGTTCATTGATTTTAGGAGATGACATCACGCTTGGTGACTAAATAATAGAATTTTTAACGTATATAAATATTTTAATTTAATAATTTGGGGTCAACGCTAATTTGTTTCATTTTCAATTTATCGATACTGATTTGAAATACCGGAAATTCAGTTTTTGATTATTTGATTACATTTAATTTTTACAGTAAAGGCATTGTTAATAGTGGGTCGTTGACGTAGAGTAGGAAAAGAATGGGTCCCAACACAGACCCCTGCGGCACACCATGGATAATCTTAGCCGTATCAGAATCAACCCCATTCACTCGGACGAACTGGCATCTACCTGAGAGCATTGACCTGAACCAGTCCGAAGCCGTTCCACGGATGCCATAATGACTAAAGTTTCTGCAGCAGTATTTCATGATTTACGCAATTGAAATAAGCTTTCGAGAAATCACAAAACACCGCCGCAGCCACCCCTCGATCATTCAAGCTGAGGTATAGTTTTTCCAAAAATGAGCAGATGGCATCATTTGTTCCTCTAGAACTTCAAAAACGAAACTGATTCCGATCAAGAACATTATGCCTCTTCAAAAAATCCACTAGTTGCTCTTCAACAATTTTCTCCATGATCTTCGAGAGAGTAATCAACAGCGAAATAGGTCGATAATTCGATGGATCTGAACTTTCCCCCCACCCCCTTTAAAGATTAGGATTACCACTGCCGATTTTAGACTAGGAGGAAATATTCCAGCGCCCAGAGACAAATTAATACAAGCGGCTAGTTCCTCTAGAGCACTGTCTGGCAAGTTTTTCATGATTTTTGCAGAAATACTATCGCTTCCTGAAGCATTCTGGTTTTTAATACTTTTGCAAATTTCCCTGATTTTATGTTTGCTGGTTGTTTTGAAACTGAAGTTTTCTATGTAAGATAATGGCTGTAGATAATCTAAAGGATGAGTGTTAGAATTAAGATCATCTGACAGCTTGCAATTGTTGTGTAGAAGGTAGGTAGGTATTAAGTTTGTCAGACATCAACAAAACTTTTGGATTTTTCTTTTTTTTCCTCTAAATTCGTTTATCAACTTCTAGTATTCTCTGCTTTTGTTTTCTGTCTTATTGATTTGCCTTCTATAGTGGATTTTTTTTCGCCTCAATAATAACCTGTCTATACATATATGGTTCTGTACCTATTGAAGTACTGTATTCTCGGCTCTTGAATTGCTTTTTAGAAATTTCTCAATGAATTCAAGAGCTGGTATTGGGAAAAAATTTGGACCATAAGGGGCTCTTGATTCGCTGGATTTGAACTTCAATTGAATTCATAATACTTTTTTCTACTACCGCGAGTAAAGTACTTACTTTACGCACTTTTCAAAAGACATGAAATTGTATGTCACGCATAAAAATTCACTTTATTACACATCTTGTTAAATAAATAGCTATTTTTGAGTCATTGTTTGGTTTTCCCCCCATTCAATTCAAACATTTAATCCAAACCTTCAACAGATAGCGCCACTAGACAAACTGGCAAATGAAAGCAAATTTCAGTAGCGCCATCTATGGATTTTATTTTGTAGCTCTCAATGCAGATTCCTGTAATTTGTATTCTCCCGTTATAAACTATTCCCTACATAATTACAACTAGATTCTAAATAAAAATTTACATTTTAAATAATATTTAGCGATTGAACAATTAAAATCATCAATCCAAGGACAATCAACAATAATTTTCCAAGCGCGTCATAAGAGGCAACAAATGACGTAACCAATTACGTCACTCACAAAAATAAAAAAAAATGGTCGGGTTTGTTTTTTGCAGTGTTTAGATCCTTGATTTTCGTCGATTTTCCTGGATATCCTAGCGAATTCGTCGCCCGCTGGTTCGGGAACAATTCTGGATAATGTAAGTACAAAATTCAGTAACAATTAAACCAGGAAAAGGGCTCCAAACGAAAGCCAATAGCCAAATTCAAGGTTACATTTCCAGGGGTCATCCTATTGATTGACCATGTACAAGATTTTTTTAGGGCTAAAAATAATGGAAGCTAGATCAAGTACAATATTATTTTTTCCCTTTTTATAGAAATACACACATAAACAATGACCATGCAACAATATTGTCTACGTTGGAACAACCACCAGCCCAACTTTATTTCAGTCTTTTCCAGTCTTTTAATAAGTGAATCCCTCGTTGATGTAACACTGGCAGCCGAAGGTAAACATCTACAAGCCCACAAAGTTGTTTTATCAGCTTGCAGCTCCTATTTTCAAGTAATTATTCATTCAAGGAAAACCAATATCTTTATTAATACATTATAAACTTTCCAGTCGTTATTTACCATAAACCCTTGCCAACACCCCATAGTAATACTTAAAGATGTTAAATTTATAGACCTAAAAATAATGGTCGATTTTATGTATTATGGAGAAGTGAACGTGTCCCAAGAACAACTACCCTACATACTTAAAACGGCAGAAATGCTAAAAATCAAAGGCCTAGCCGAAATACCAGTCGAACAAACTTTGAGCAAACCCCATAACACTTCAATTGATAAAGCTGAATTGCTTGTACCGTCACAAGAATCAAATTGGGGCTCTGACGTTGTGCCTATGCAATCTTCCACACCTTCACCTTGTCCTTTGAGTCCGGGAGCCAGAAGGTAACTATTTTGTTTTATTTATTTATTTATTATTAATCTATGCATTACTAGGAAAAGATTAAGAAAAACATCTTCAGGCTCCGGTTCAGGTGATAGGCCAGAAAATCTAGATACTTCAGGCAATGACAGTATGCTACTGAGTCAAAATATGGTGGGTAATATTCTTGGATCAGTAATTAAATCAGATCCTGGAGGATATTTGTCAGACAACAGTAATTTGGGTCATAAAAGCAAACAGCATAGCGGGGAGTCGTCAGATCTGCAACGTGGTAGCTCCCATGAGAGTGGTGACAGTGATACTTTGCATCAAATAACTTTGGTAAGGCAATTTTGATTGGCTAAGTTAATTATCAATTTTCTTTTGATGTAATCCAATTGATTCTAAGCCAATCAAGAGCTGAGTATTTATTCAAATTTTTGCTATTCCTGGCTCTTGATTGGGTTGATTTGTTAGACTGAATAATTTTTGAGATACAGATATAAAATTATAGTTGTCCTCCAGGGGCAACCACTATGCTCACAAATGTACAATTAAACCCATATTTGGCAATCACTGATCAATGAATCTCATGTATTCTCATACCAAGAATTGAGACTGATTGCTAGCTGATTCTATTACAAAAACGATGTCTAATTGTTAAGCTTTGCTATGACCAAACTAAACAGTCTTTTCTCTTATAAAAACATGTTTCCACTGAAAAATTGGTAACTTCTGTATTTGTAACTCTTCCAAAAGTTAACAATTTTTATTTTCATGGTTTTCCACACCCACACCGATTTTGTTGTAGGGATAAATAGTTGTTGAGCCCTAGATACCATTGCGTTGTCATAATATGGATCTAAAATAATGAATATTTCTTTGATTTCACTAGGATGTTTATCTGAATCAGAGACATCCTCAGGGTTTCACTGGACAAACTTAGTTTTCATTCAGATGTGCTCTCTGCTTCTCACACTGCCTAGTATTTATTCTACTTTCCCCTTTTCAAGTTCTTATTGCCTTGGATTCCCTAGTTTTCCAACATTGTCATACTTTAGGTCTGTTCTCACGGAAATCACCAACCAGTTAGAGCGAATTTCATTGGTTGAAAATAGTCAGAAAACTGATCGTTGGCGATTTGCACCAATCAAAAACGCTCTGACTGGTTTGTGATTTCTGTGAGAACAGACCTAATCTTCATCTCGTTCTTCTGCTTCTTCACATTGTAAACTCTTTGTAGTCTCGAGTTCAGTTATTGGGAAACTTGTTGGGATATCAAATTCATTTCAAATTGTTTAACACTAGCTCTGCTCCAACTGACATTAAAACCTTTCCAGAACCAGTAATTTCCAGTTGGAATAAAATCTATAAAATATACAGGGTGGATATTTTTGAAAAAACCTCGGACACGTCAATTTTTGATTTTATTGGCCGTTTTTTTGATGATAATACCTTATATACAGAGTGGCAAAAAAAACAAGTTATGACAGCTAACTTAATTTTTTTAAATAAAAACACCAATTTTTTATTTCATTTTCAAATTTTACGTTGAATTCTGAACATATTTCATGTATCATATCTTATACCTATCTTCAACTGTTTCGGAAATATTGACAGTTAAAAATTGAATTTTTTGCAACTTTGACAGGCTGTAGAACCTAAACGGTTAATTTTGGAGCAAAACCGATCATACATACTTAGTTTTCTATAAGCTATCATTTGACACCAACTTTGAATTTTGAACCATGGATTAAATTCAAAGTTGGTGTCAAATCATAGTTTATGGAAAACTAAGATAAGAATATATGATCGGTTCTGCTCTAAAATTAACCGTTTAGGTTCTACAGCCTGTCAAACTTGCAAAAAAGTCAATTTTCCACTGTCAGTATTTCCGAAATTGTTGAAGATTCGTGTATATTACATGAGACATGAAATAGGTTCAGAATTTAACTTAGAATTTGAGAATGAAATAAAAAATTGGTGTTTTCGTTTAAAAAATAAAGTAAGCTGTCATAACTTGTTTTTGAGTCACCCTGTATATGTGGTATTATCATCAAAAAAATGGCCACTAAAATCAAAAATTGACGTGTTCGAGGTTTTTTGAAAAATATCCACCCTATATATTTTATAGATTTTATTCCAACCTTTACATGCTCACTGTATATATACAGGGTGTATATTTTAAGTGATACCACTATTGCTATATCTGAAACGGTAAGAGCTACAGGGTCGGTTAAATTAGAAAAAAGTTGCCTTGTTTGATGCTCATTTAAGACTCGTTTACAGTATTGCCAAATTTCTTTTAGTTTATGAAATACAGGGTGATTTCTAAGAAACGTCCAAAAATATTTCATCATTTATTTCGAACACTATTGATTTTTGAGACACAATTTAAATTTGAAAATTATATAATTTTTTTCGCTCTACAACACGGTATCTTCAAATTTTAAATCCGACGTTTCGTGATCGAGATACCATCATCAACTTCATTTTTTTAAATACGGACGTGGATTTTTTATGTCATTTTTAGGAAGCGCCCTTAATTCTCTTTCCAAAAATGACATAAAAAATCCAGGTCCGTATTTAAAAAAATCAAGTTGATGATGGTATCTCGATCACGAAACGTCGGATTTAAAATTTGAAGATGCCATGTTGTAGAGCGAAAAAAATTATAAAACTTTCAAATTTAAATTGTGTCCCGAATATCAATAGTTTTCAAAATAATTGACGAAATAATTTCAGGCCTTTTTATAAATCGCCCTGTATTTCATAAACTAAAAGGACTTTGGCAACACTGTAAACAAGTCTTGAATGAGCATCAAAAAAGGCAACTTTTTTCTAATTTAACCGACCTTGAAGCTCTTACCGTTTCGGATATAGCCATAGTGGTATCACTTAAAATATACACCCTGTATATATACAGGGTGAGTTACTAAGCGCGCGGTGGTCCATATCTCCTATACTAACGAAGATCGGAGAAAAAACTTAATACAAAACTTGTAGATAAACATGATTACTACATTCCTAAATTATTTTCCAGTATACAGGGTAGCCCAATAACTGGTAGTGAAACAAAGTTATGTTTTTTTGAATTACTCCCCCTTTATATATTATGACATTTTTGGATTCTGCGGAAAATTCTAGACATATTTCATGTACAATGTCTGAAAATTGACTTTTTTGCATCTTTGACAGACTGTGAAACTTAAACGGTTAATTTTAGAGGAAAACGGATTTTACATTCCTATCTTAGATTTTCATAAGCTATCATTTGACACCAACTTCGAATTTAACCGAAGATTAATAATTAGGCGGAATTTTTAATTAAATTCAAGATTGGTGCCAAATGATAGCTTATGAAAAACTAAGATAGGAATGTAAAATCCGTTTTCTTATAAAATTAACCAGGTTTTACAGTCTGTCAAAGATGCAAAAAAGTCAGTTTTCAACTGTCAATATTTCCGAAACATTTGCAGTATGGTTCAATTTTACCTATATTGTCTGGCTTCTGCTTGAACTTTTGATTAAGTTGACTAATGGGTTGCTGGATTGGAAGTTCGTGTGTTGTCAGATATAGAATACAGTTGGCCACCTATTTTTCAATAAGTTGGATGTTTATCCTATTTAACAAATAAATTGATCGACTGGAAATTATCGTTCTAGAACGGTTCTCATATCGATTGCAACAGAGCTAATGTTGCTTAAAACTTAGTCTTACAGGCAAATGCACAACTGACCGGTATGCTGTATCATTTAGGGCGGGTATTATAAAACTACTTTGAGAGTTAACTTCTGGAATTACATGTAATTCAAAAACTTAACTTCAAGCTAACTGTCAAAGCAGTTTTATAATACCCGCCCTTAAAATATATGATATGCGATTTCTGGGTTAGAATGAGATAATATTCCTAGCGATTACCACATGATTCTCAGCGATTGCCAATGGATTCCTATGTTATTCTCATAGAGTTCTAGGAGATTCCTAGCGATTCCTAGGTTATTCCCAGGGACTCCTAAACAATTTCCATGTATTCCTAATTGATTACTATGCGATTCCAAAAAAAAATTTACAATGATTTCCACTAGTGGTTTACCCCTTGGTTGTCCTTATACATGTAACATCCTGCCACTATCTTTGAAATATAGAAAAAGCTAACAATAGTCAGACAAATTAAGGTATAAAATATTAAAAACTATACATCACTTTTCAGCAATTTGTCCCTACAGAATGACTGAACTAATTGAGTTGGCTTTTTTGATCCTGCATCGACAACACTAACAAAATGTCAAAAATGATCTTGTTTCCAAAGTTTTTTTCTCTAGATGGTATAGCTGAATCCTCTGAAAAGTTCTTTTTGCCCTTGAGGCAATTTCTAGAGTCAAAATGAAGCTGTTACTGTCCTATGACCCACATATGGGTCATGCCTTATGTTTTTTGCAAGTCCTCTGCCCCATATTTGGCTCACGTTTGGGTTTTATTTCATCTTAGGACTGTCGATCAATCTACTCGTTATCTACAGGGGACTCTGTAGTATACAAGGCAACTATGCAAAGTACAAATTCGACCCATATTTGAGGCATAGACTTAAGTAATGAAACATTGACAACGTAGGGATTTCTTTTTGTTTTTTTTTTGATCGATTAGTGTGCGTAGCAATATGTTGAAGTTTTCTTGAACCAAATATATCTCATAAGACTTTGTGCATGTGAAACTGTAAATTTTAACTACAGAGTCCCATGACCCAAATATGGGACATAAGTTTTTTTATATGGAAACCTCCTGTGTCTGGCTGATGGGTTATCATTTTGGTTGAGTCAAAAAAATCCTGCTCAAGTCGTAGGTAGAATTTTTCCTGTGGTTGATTTCTATTGGATTGATTTGAAATTTTAGTATGATGAGCTTCTAGTCTTTCTTTTTCTACTCCAGAAGTTTCAAAATTTTTTCCTTATCAGTTTTTGAGAAAACCATTAGAATGTGAGATCATATATTTTATATCTTATTTAGTTTTTCACAGTTAATTTCCAGGAATTTTCCCTGTGGTTGTTTTCTGCTGGAATAATAAACTTCCATACCTTGAAAAGCAATTTTTCCGAATTTAGTTTTTATCTCTGGACGTTGGAAATTGCTGTGAGAGGCTCTTGTGATTCTTCAACAATTCATAGGTTGAAGTTTGCGTAATTTCCAGTCATCAGATTTAATACAGGCAAAAATCAAATATTCAACATAGTGTTTTTTCAAAGTTTTAGGCTGTAGAAACTATAGAATCCTCTGAGAGTTTCTCATTAATTTTGAATATCTCAAAAAGTATCTTCCAAAGCATAAAATTCGAGACGAGGGGTAAACCACTAGTGGAAATCATTGTACATTTTTTTGGGAATCACATAGGAAATCGCTTGGGAATCACTAGGAATCTCGTAGAGCTCCATGGAAATCACATAGGCAATCGCTGAGAATCATGTGGGAATATCATCTCATTCTAACCCAGATATCGCATATCAAATACATCATTTTAAACGATATAGCGTACTGGTCAGTTGTGTATGTGCCTTTAAGACTAAGTTTTAGGTAATATTGAGAAATAGACAATTTGAAATAAATTTGATATCCCAACGAGTTTCCCAATAACTGAGCCAATGTCTCTGATTCAAATGAAGATCCTAATGAAATCAAAGATTTCAGATCCATATTATGCATAGTAGACACGCAATGATATCTAGGGCTTAACAACTATTTATACCTACAACAAAATCTGTGTGGGTGTGGAAAATCATGAAAATAAAAGTTGGTATTTTTTGGAAAGAGTTGCAAATACAGAAGTTGCCAATTTTTCAGTGGAAACATGTTTTTATAAGAGAAAAGATTGTTCATTTTGGTAATATCAATGTGAAGCTTAACAATTAGACATTATTTTCATGATAAAATCAGCTGGAAATCGGATGATTGTAGGAAATCAGGTAATCAATTGGGAATGATATAGGAATCCCCAGAAAAATTGGAAATCACCTGGTAATCATACAAAAATATCTGAAAATCACTGGCAATTAGTCGCAATTCCTGGGATGGGAATATATGAGATTCATTGATCAGTGATTGATGCCAAATATGGAAACCATTGTACATTTGTAAGCATAGAATAAGACCTTAAAAGCTTGTCTAAACCTCGGAAAGCATTTTTTTCTTTTCCCAATTTACTTTTTGTCTCTGGAAGTTGGAAATTGCTTGAAGATTCTCTGAAAATTCAAGAAAAAAATCGTCTATAGCAATTTTCAGTTAATTAAAAATTTAATATCGATGGTATTTTTTGAAAATTTCAGTCTCTAGAAGTTATAGAATCCTTTTAAAGCCTCTTATTGTCCTTTAATCAACCAAAAACCATCTTTCAGAGTCAAAATTAACCAAGGAATCAAAAAAATTCTGCTCAAGACCTTAATAAGACCTTAAAAGCTTGTCTTATAAACTTTAAAAAGCAATTTTTCCTTTTCCCAACTTACCTTTTATCTCTGAAAGTTGAAAATTCCTTCCCAGCATAATCAATAGCGTGGAATTTTCAAATTCTGAATTTTTAAAGTCAATTTTTCCTTTTCATCAGCAAGTACCACAACACCAGCAACAACAACCACAAGAAGTTAATATCGGCCATAATTTGGACCCGGAACCTCCTCAATCAGATATTCCAGGTTCTTCTGGGACTGTTCACCAGCAATCTTTGACAGGTAAGTGCTCAATCAATATTTGTTTCTTGTAAAAGCATGATTTATATTCACCTCGAAAGAAAGGCTAAGTTTCAACCGCAGTGGTGTAAAATATTTTCCATAAAATGCCTTTTTCTCCTATCCCTCAGAATGATATTGACAACAAATTAAGGCTAAGCTCAATGATCATCATCAAAAAGAAAAAAACATAATTTTTTTAATTTTCTTTTTTGGCCATCATCATCATTTAAAACTTTTCTTTTTAAAAATATGAAAAAACAAAACATGTATTTAAAGTGAAGATCAAAAATACATATAGAAGATACTGACAAAGAAACTTAAGTTAAATTTGAAAATCTCCAATAATATTACTTTAGAGATCTTTAAATCTTGAACATAAGTAAAAAGAAATTTCTACATGGCTTTTGACAAAAGTATCAAAATTGCACATTTTGACTTACAAACGAAACAGTTAATTTCATTACGCTGTGTTCCATAATTCTTCCTTAAAAGCCTTTTATATTTAATACAATTCCTTCTAATTCCATCCTCACTCACCAAAATCCGACTGCAAATTGTTGAGCTTGGCCTTCTTTTTGAGCTGTCTCTATCTGATCCCACCTGAGCCTCGAATCCCTTTGCAGGACTTCAATGGAACATGATGGATCCAAATTACTATTCGACGTGCCAAAATCCTGAACCATTAGAAACTAATTCCAGTGATCAAACCAATAATCATTGTTTGCCGCCAAATCCAACGACTTCCAATAATAATATTCCTGCTAATAATCATGAATCGCCCAGTCCTCCAGATGAGGAAGCTTCCGCGGGGTGTTTTCAAGGGCAAATTGGCAATTCTCCACCTCAAATGTTGTTGAAAAGGAAGCGCAGCTTGAATCCTCAAGGGGAGGAGAATTTTATAAAAGCCTTGGATGCTGTTAGGTTTGGTGGTATAGGTTTTTGTAAAGCAGCCAGGATGTACGGGGTTAACAACAGGACACTTTGGTTGGAGTATAAAAAACGTGGCTATCCGAATTTTAGATTAAGCATTAAAAATCGCAAGCAGGAAAATAATTCAAATAATCAACCAGCTGCTACAGTAGAACCTAATCAACAACTACAGTCAACAACAGACCCAGTATTTTTAAAACAAGAAATTGATGTTACTTATAAGCACCATGAGAATCCTCAGGAGCAAATTTTGTGTGCTACTTCAAATCATCCAGTGGCACTGATTAGTGGTACCTTTTTTGAAGGCAAACACGTTGATTTGGGGCCAGTGCTTCAGCACCGGCCCAAATATTTAGACCCGTCTTTGATTAATGCGCCGGGCATCAATTTTCAGAGTATTAATTTTGAGCAAATGTGAGAAAATTTGATCTTCCAGTGAATAGTTTTCGTTTAATAATTATAAGTGTAAGTTTTTGCAGTTGTAAGACAACTTGATAGGGAATTTGAGGAATTATGCACAGTTTGGCCTTTGTGCTCAAAATTTTTAGACTGATAGGCTAGGTGAGTTTGAATTCTTATTTTGTTATATGTATAAGGGGGTTTCAAGAGGGGACTAGTGAAGTTTAATATGTACTACAAGGCTTACACTATTTTCAAAAATTGCATAGTAGTTCCATTATGTGCAATTTTGTAACAAATTTTTTTGTCTTGATGTTAAATAAACTACAAAAGAATTTCTAAGTCCCTTGAAAAATCTAACAAACTTGGTATAATACTTAATATTGTGATTAAATCTGATATTATTTTTTAAGATTTAACGGGTCAATTTTGTGCACATCTGTAAGCAAATCTTTAAATTTCTATAAGCCACTGAACAATGTCCAATTCTGCACTTCCTGTAGGTTTCAGAAAATTGTGGGTGTTTGGCAATAATTGATGCGTTTTGCAGTGTCTATAGGCTTATAGAAAGTTATAGATTTGCTCACAGATGTGCACAGAATAGACCGATTAGTTTTAAGCTGTATAAAAAAAAATCTGTACTGGGTGTCAAGTTATTAAGTATCACCCCCTTATAGCACAAAAAAAGTTACAGGGGGTGGTACTTTATAACTTGACACTCTGTACTTACAGCCTAAAGTGTGCCATATATTTTTTCAAAAAATATCATTATGTGATTTTTTGTTTTAAATTTTTTTCTAATCTTTATTTTTTACACGATTTTTTTACTTATTGTTACCAATCCAGAGGTCTTGATTGTTGTGATTACTTCTTTTTATTATTAAATAAAAGTGAAAAATTACTTGTGTTTTATTTGTAATAATAATAATAATTTTCAAGATATTTCTGTTGTCTGTATGACACAATTTTTTCTATAATCTTCACAGATAAAGTAACAGTAGAAGAAATCCTGCAACAAAACCAGCCACCGATGGGTACCAAAAGAGGCAGGTTCCTCATGCGCCAGCCCCGTATAAAACGCGAAAGCGATTCCAGTCAGCTCTCGGACAACGACTCGCCTTCTTTTCACTACTTGAGCGTGCCCCATTCGGCTCGAGTGGAACGACAACATTCCGATCCTTTGCCGACCATTTCACCACCTCCCGGGAACCTTTTAACGGTCCCCGGGGCGGTTTTGATGAAACAGCATTCACATCCGTTGTTGCCCAGTCAAATAAAACCAGTAAGAATTTTAATATTTTTAATAGGCTTATAATAGTTGTTGATTTTTCAGCCTCTTTCTCCACCCCTTCATATACATTTGATACCGCACACTGAGTCGGAGACTAGTGCAGAAAGGGCTGTAAGTCCAGTGGTTGTGGTAAGTGATTCTTATGGGGATTTGTCGAGGGCGGATGCCGCTGAAGTCGCGCCCACTCAGATTCTGAGGGTACGGACTGATGATTTGAAGAGGCGTGCTTCTTCACCGCAGGTAAATATTTATGCCTTAAAATCAATCTTGATTCAATCAGAAACTACTTGATCAGTATTCAGAGTTAATTAGAATCTTAGAAAAACTTTCCACTGAGAAAAATACGAATATGATTTACATTTAATTAACACTACAGTAAACTCGCGCTAGTGTGAACACGAAAAAATCGGACGTGTTTATATTATCAAGACTTACACACACATATACGCATATACTGTCGGAGATCTACCTCAAAATGCAAAATACTGTCAGTAATGGTATAGGTACTTGAGAACATATCATTAAGTAAATTTTCCCAGTTTATTGATCAAAGTAAAATGTTATTTTTGTCTGAATCCTGAATCGTTTTAGCTGACCATGGATGGCTACCGCTTTGTCTTGAATGTTTCTTACTAACAGACTTTTGTACGTGCTGTTGATGCACTGCCTTAATGACACCCACTTGTTTATTATAGTTTGTGATTTATATGAGAACAGACCTGGTATTTTTGTGCATTTCCTGTCTAAATACATTCGGGGGATCCTAAAATCGGACGGGAACCACCTATGACAAAAATTAATAGACAGAAAGCGGTGAATGTGGGGTCAAATATATATTCATACTACCGAGATTCTCAAAAGTTCACACTACAGAATTATAATGTAATTCATTCTGGTTGTTCATACTACTTGAAGGTTCACACAAGCGTATGTTCACACTATTTAAACTTCACTAAAACACAATATTTATTGTGTTTTCTTTAGGAAAATTGCTTCCGGTCTGATTGGACATAAAAATAAATAGCCATTTAAGAATTCCTGGAATAAATTTTTTAATTTATTTGCTCTGACTCTATTCTAGCTATTCTTTAAACTTAACTTATTCTGATTCACATTCGTTCAACCATTTTTCACACTTTTTCCTTGACTCTTCAATTTCTTGCCAATCAACACAAGGTCTTTTTAAGTAATGTTCAGATTTGGGATGGTAGATGTCGTATTGAGGAGGACTTGTGGCAAAATATTGTTTACTGTGGGCTTTTATCATGTTCCATACTGCTGAATCTGCAAACACAAAAATTGAGTTATGAAAGTTGAATTAATATTGACTTACTTGAGGTGGCTTCACTGCGTTCTTCTTCGGATTCGATTAAAATAGGGTCTCCTTCAATGGATTTCTTTGCATCAGATTTCTGTACAATCTCTTCATCAGTTTCTATAGCTAAAGGATCTTCTATTTTTACATCTTTTCTCAATTCTTTCATAATTCTTTTATAATCGTCAGTAAATTGTTGTACAGTCTTCCAATCCGCCTCTCGTTTACTCAAATATTTACCTTTAGTTCCTGGCAGAGGCCTCAAAAAGCTATTTTTATTAAACTTTGCAAAGGGATCTTCTAAAGCGCTGCTACAATCACTATCACTGTCTGAAGGTATCAACTCTTTGACGGGCGTCAGTAAGGTTTCTAGACGTTTTTCGTTTTGGGTTTTTAATTTTGGTAATCTCGAGGGCACTTTGGCAAAGAAGGAATCCCACATTTTGATGAATGGCATAGAAATATTGATCAAACATTTGTGGGGGAGTATATCGATTCGAAAAGGACAACATATCAGATATTTGAGTTACTGTACAGGGATGGCCAAAAGAATGGAATAAAATTCATAGTTTTTCAGCAAGTAATTTTTGCAAAAAACGCTGAAACCCGTTAATTGATTTTGACTTTTTCACATTTTTCAGTTAAATAAAAATTATTGTTATTCCAACCCCCTAACCCCCAGCTTCTCCAACTTTTTTTTTTTTCAAATGGAAATTCATGTCTTGTGGGGACTTATTGGAGAGCTCATGAAAAATGGAATCCCGCCATACCAAATAAACAAGTTTTATCTTTTTAATAACCAGTTTTTTTTATGGGTGTCCAAAATAAGGATGTCTATCATGGGGATTTTGTAAACGGTAGCAGATTCGGCAATGGGTAAATGAGGGAAAAGTTGCGGAATTCAACGCTTAATAACATGGTACTTTGACATTTGAAAAATTTCCGAGATATCTGGAAAAAACCGAAATTTTGCAAAATCGATTTTATTTTTTCCTGAGCTTATTTCAGGAGGTATTTCAAAACAATTGTCACTTCATCGTTACTACTTTTCCTACTCTATAAGATGACATAATCAATTTTGGAATTTGACGTTTCCTCTTTGAGCCACCATCATCAACTTAATTTTTTTTAAATACGGATCCTTATTTTTTATTTTAGATTTTATAAGCTTGTGATATCCCAAAACCAATGACGTATTACACTTATTCGAAAAATTTATATTATTGTCATTTTCCATAAGACCTTAATGTGTTAGAGAGGGACAGGGAACCGAATTTTGCTAGGAAATTACTGAAAAGTAAGAAAAAATATTTTTTCGAATAAATGCATGCGTCATAGGTTTTGGAACATCAGAAGCTTATAAAATCTAAAATAAAATTAAAGGTCCGTATTTAAAAAAATTAAGTTGATGATGGTGGCTCAAAGACGAAACGTCAAATTCCAAACTTGATAATGTCATCTTGTAGAATAGAAAAAGTAGTAGTGACGAAGTGGCATTTATTTTGAAATACCTCCTCAAATAAGTTCAGGAAAAAATAAAATCGATTTTGCAAAATTTCGCTTTTTTTCGGATATCTCGGAAAATGTTCGGAATTTTCAAAGTACCATGTTATTAAGCGTTGAATTCCGCAACTTTTCCCTCATTTACCGATTGCCGAATCTGCTGCCGTTTACGGGATCCCCATGATAGACATCCTTATTTTGGACACCCATAAAAAAAACTGGTTATTAAAAAGATAAAACTTGTTTATTTGGTATGGCTGGATTCCATTTTTCATGAGCTTTTCAATGAGAAAAATATGAAAAAGTCAAAATCAATTAACGGGGTTCAGCGTTTTTTGCACAAATTACTTGCTGAAAAATTATTAATTTTATTCAATACTTTTGGCCATCCCTGATATAATAATTTTTATTCAGCATAATGCTGCATACAAAATCCATACATATAAAAGTTAAAATTCAATAGTACATTATGCACTGAGGGACTAAAGTGGTACTTTTAATCCCGAGACAAAAAGTTTAAATATAATTTGTCGAGGGATTAAAAAACACTTTAGTCCTGAGGTGTATACACTATTTTATGGACTTCACTTTATTTCCCGGGGATTAAATAAAACAGGGAATAAATGGGTACTTTTAATCCCTGAAGTGCATAAAATTAATAATAATATTTCATAACATTAACTATATCATTCATGTATGTACAGCAAGAATAATAAGGGACCCAGAACAGTTCCCTGCGGTACTCCATGCTGAACTTGTAAGGAGTCTGAGAAACTATTTCCAGTTAGGTGTCAGTGCGTTATCCTTTGGATAACGTACACCTAACATAGGATTTTTAGGCTCTATGGATTTTGCCCATTTTTTGATATGTTGTAGAGGATTTAATTCTTAACAACCTTTAAATGGGACGAAATCTTGTAGGCGGTATCACACAGTACTTCGAGCATTCATACTGAACGGTTGTGCTTTCGTTCGGCAGCTCCCGCGAGTATTGCAAATTTGATTTGTTTTGACTTGATTTGTTTTGTTTGCATCACATCGTTGTGTTCGTTTTCGTTGTGCGTGTATTTTTTAAACTTGACCTAGTTACCTTGTTATTGATCCAGTTCTTTAAAGTTATTTAAACTTATTATAATGGCCGATTTCAAATGCGATTCCTGCCAAAAAGCCGTCTCTGAGAAAGACAAATACAAACTTTGCTGTAGTGGTGAGTGTCGCCGGTACTTCTGCATGAACTGCACTGGCTTGGACAAAACAACTACAAAAGTCCTTTACCAACAGAAGTACCACAACATTAGATTCTTCTGCAGTGTTTGTGATTCCCCTACATTGAAATACCTGCATGATAAAGTGACACATCTACATAATTCTCAGATTTCTATGGAAAATGTCGAAGCTCTCGGAGCCTGTTTAAAAAAAAAACAATGACCTTCTTCCTGTCATTACAGAAATTTACGACATTTTGAGTAGTCACGACTCCGTATGGAAGCAACTGAACCAAAAAATAGATGACATTCACAGCCACCAAACCAAAATCTCGGACAATGGACAAAAATCTCTATTCAAATCTATAAAAGAAATGAAACAAGATATTTTTAATTTGTCATCTGTTTTCATGGACAATCATGATGAATCTATTAAGATCCAGGTACATGATACATCAAAAAATGAATTAATAAAGGAAATAGGTGATTTGCGTAAAAATATTGATTAGATGTCACTTATGATGGAAAAATTAGCTGCTAAAGATAAACCCAACATCAAGACCTCTCAGCTAGGGATAAATAAGTCAAATTCGACACAAACTGACACGCATCACAAGAAAGTGGCTACTCCAGTTGAAGTTAAAACACCCATAACTTATAAGACCATTAAAAAAGAAGATTGGCATTACTTGATTCTGTCTAAAATTCCCGTCTCTTACACTTCAAACCAAATTGCTCACTATGTTAAGGAAAAACTTGGAACAACAGACTTTATCCGTTATTTTTCCATGCTGAAAAATGATGACAGTTCACTTTCCGAATTCAAAATTGGCGTGAAAAGCAAGAAACATTTTGAACAGTTGTAGGACATAAGTATGTGGCCGCCCGGTAGTTCAATAAACACTGCCTTGTCATCTTTAGCACCCTCAAATTTAACATCACCTGTACATACTATTTCTACAACAAGTCTTCAACAAATCGACCTAACCACTGCAGCAACCCGAAGCCTTCCTCCAGACTGCAGTTCCAAGAAGAAGCCTACAGAGAATAAATCAATCAAGATTGGATTCGATAGAGAGGCCATTGCTGCATGTAAGTCTCATATTCACCAAAGTAACGCTGATATTATTGTAGAGTCAAATGTGAATAACGACACAATGCTCAACTTTGACCCGATGACTCCACCTATAGTGCAAATATCGCGAAACTCCGATATAGCAAATGCTACTGGCTAGATTGAGAGACCCTTCCATCTTAAAAACTCTTAGGCTTTACCTAGCCTATCTCCACGACCAGCCCCCCAATGTGTGTTTTGAAGGTTACACCAACACCAGCATTAAATTAGCGTTAGCATCAGAGGGCCTACCGAGTGACGTGGATTCCTTACGCAAGCTGTATTATCGTTTCCACAGCGCCTATGGCATCGATTCGGCTGAAGTTGAAGCGGATCTTTCTGCCTTCAGATCGTTTTTCTCTTCGGAAAAAATCCAACAGCTTCAAAAAATTAGGGAGAGTCATTCTAAGTACTTTTCTGGTGGTTCTCCAAATAACAAAATTTTTTAGATAGTTTGACGCGAATAGAGGAACAAGCACCCTCTGAAACAATAAACGATAGCAAGCTTAGTGTATTTCTCATCAATATTCAGTCCATTAGATTGATGAATTATATTTATTATTAGAACACCTACATTTTCCAGAAATTATTGCCATAACAGAACATTGGCTCAATATTGACGAGCCTGTGTTTGTCAAAAACTACACTACAGTATCTAGGTATACTAGAAGTATACTATCTCATGGAGGTACTGTAATAATGTCCACTAATAACAACTTTTCGGCGATAACCAAGTTCGACAATTTATTATCTGAAAAATTATTCGAATTTTCTATAGTCTACAACAATATCTACGACCTCTACATTGTTTGTATTTACAGAACACCTGACGCTGACTTGGTTACATTTTTTCAAAACTTACTAAGCTTGCTTGAGTCCTTCCCTCTTAAGAGTAAATTAATTTTGTGTGGCGACTTTAACATAGATTTTTCCAGTGTGTGTGCTGCTCAAGATTCTCTCCAGTCTATACTTGACTCTTTTGGTATGGTCATGCATGTTCAATCTCCAACCCGAATAACTAAAACCAGATCTAGCACTATCGACTACGTCGTGTCATCTTTTGATCCAAGCTTTGTTGACTGTACTGTCTTAAGTTCAGGGTTTTCAGATCATGAAGCAGTACTCACAAACTTTTCTCTAAAGAGCAATAGCAGGATTGTCTCACGCAAGTTTCGCCGAATTTATTCGGAAAAAAATTTCCTCAATTTCAAGCGCTCATGTCAAACAATTGACTGGGGTTGCCTCTCTGATGACATCAATAATGCATTTTCAACATTTTCAAATAAATTATCTGGTTTAGCTTTCAAAGCATTTCCCCTCAGGCCTATCAAAAATAAGCAACATAAACCCTGGACTACTAAAGGCTTGCGGACATTGGCAAAGAACATGCGCTCATTGTCACACCTAAAAAAATTTTCAGACAGTTTCTTCTTTCAAAATTACGTTAAACTCTATAGAAAAATTTATCATAAAACTATAAAAGCCGCCAAAGACACCTATTATAACAACCGGATCGCTAGAACTGAAAATATTGCCAAAGAAACGTGGTCTATTGTCAACGACTTGAGAAATAAGGCTATCTCTTCCAGTATAACCTCTACCTCCCCTGAGAACCTGAATAAGGACCAAGAGTCGAACTATCGTCCAATTGCACTTCTTCCTACTTTATCCAAAATCATTGAAAGATTGGTTAAGAAAAGGCTTCTATTATTTCTGCATAAATATAATATACTAACTATCCACCAATTTGGATTTTTAACCAACAAATGCACTATTGATGCTATGTTCTCTGTCTTCAATAATGTCTTCTCTAGCTTGAACAATTTGCACTCCACAGCATCAATTTTCTGTGATTTTTCTAAAGCATTCGACTGTGTAAGTCACATAATCCTAATTAACAAATTGCAGCATTATGGAATTCGAGGCTTTCCTCTGGAATGGTTCAAGTCGTATCTTAACAACAGAAAACAGCTTGTGAGGGTTGATACGACGATGTCTTCATGCAAGCCAATAGAATGTGGAGTTCCACAGGGTTCCGTGTTGGGTCCAATATTATTTTTGCTGTTTATCAACGATATTGCTAGTCTAGACATCAGCGGTAAAATCTGTCTTTTTGCTGATGATACTAGTTTCACTTGGAGCAACCCAGATATTGTAGCTCTTCATAGAACCATGTCCATCGACTTGTTGGCCATTAAAACATGGTGCGACTCTAACTTTCTCTGCTTCAACGCTGCGAAAACAAAAGTTCTATCATATAGAAGTACGATGCAACCTATTGTACTTAATAACACTACTACTATTGACGTCGTTGATTCCGTAAAGTTTTTGGGCCTTATTATAGACAAATCCCTAAAATGGAATTCACACATCGATTCTTTATCAAAAAAATTAAGTTCCGCTTGTTTTGCGATAAGATCAGTTTCCAAGGAACTCAACTTGTCAACTTCTAGAACAGTCTACTTTGCCCTTTTCGAATCACATCTTCGATACGCCCTTCCATTCTGGGGTTCGTGCTGTGCGACTCAATTTGACCGTCTGCCTTATCCGCAAACACCTACCCAGTATTTCAGAAAGGCCATTGCATAACTATCCACTTAGAAACGCGGAGCAGGATCTTTATCTGCCAACTCCATCCTTCGAGTTAATTAAGAGCTCCATTCTATACAACGCAAAAAAATGCACAATCATCTGCCAGTAGTCATCAAGTCCATAGCATCTCTTCCTAAATTTCGCATAGCTCTAAAATCCTATTTATCAGAGAGAGCCTTATATAAAGTAAATGACTTTTTTCTGACTTAATTTTGAGCGTTCCACACACTGGATCATAGTTTATAGGTAATTTGTTCATTTTTATATTTGTTTATGTTTATATCATTTTATTTTGACTTTGTATACATGTAGATGTATATAATATATATTTTTAACTTTAAGGCTTTGTCTACAAATTATGTTATAATTTTTTTGACAATAAAGCATTATTATTATATTATTATGGTTTTAGAGATATGAGCATTGAAAGATGAACTTTTTTGCGGCTTTTTGTGTGGAGAGTATACGAGAAACTGGTGTTAATCAGTCAAAATATTGACAGGTCGACATATTTTACACAATGATTTTACATCACTAATGCCCGATTGCACCATCTCTCTTAACTGAGGCTTAACGATAACTATCCCCTAAATTGACAGTTTTGCATGGGAAAATGTCACTTTAAGGAATAGTTATCTCTAAGCCTCGGTTTAGAGAGACGGTGCAATCGGGCATAAACAAACGTCAACATAGGCTAAGGCCAGGACCGCACTGGCGCCAACATTGACCCCAGTGCGGTCCCGGCCTTAACCTATGTTGACATTAATTTTTAAGTGACGTAAAAGCGTAAAATATGTGAACCTGTTAATATTTTGCTACACCAGTAGCACCAGTATCTCATACACTCTCCACACAAAAAGTCGCAAAAAAGTTCATCTTTGAACGCTCATATCTCAAAAACCGTAATACCTACAAGATTTCGTTCCAATTAAAGGTTGTTCAGAATTGAATCCTCTACAACATATCAAAAAATGGGCAAAATCCATAGAGCCCAAAAATCTCATGTTATGTGTGCGTTATTGTTGTCTATTGGTTCAATATGACTGAAACCATTTCAACACTTTGTGACCAATATCAATGCTTTTCAATGGCTCTCAGTCTCAAATGCTCTTTTAAAATCAAGAAATACTGCCAAAACAAAATTACCCCTATACTATAGCAGAAAACTAATTAAATCCTGAAAGTACCTGTAGGAATAGGAACATTAGTTACAAAAAAAGTTGGCTGAATACCTACCAAATTCATAATGAATTTGTCAAATCTCTGAAATTTTTCAGATTTCATCAAAATGTATTTTTCAGAGTAGTACCCGTTCCCGTCACTGTCCAGTAATTCGTCCAGGTCCAGCTTTGGGCTGTAATTATTGCTGGAACACTGTAGACGCGCACGGTAGAATACTAAGAAGGAAAACCAAGTACCATTGTCCCGAGTGCCAGACTAATTTGTGCATAGTACCTTGTTTTCAGGAGTACCACGAACGACACAGTAAGTAGTTAAAATGCCTAATTATTGTCTACTATATGATATTGAATTTTTAGGCTCAACACGAACCGATCCAATATCTTTAACTAGTTCCGTAATGAAGATGTTCCCGAAAACTAGTACAATGTGAGCTGTTGAATGAATTTGTTAATTTGTTTTTTGGTCAAATTTACATGAGGAAGTTGTTAGATATTTATTGAATTTGCCTCAAATCTTGTAAAATATTATTAGTCTGACAACACACCTTGACGATGTTGTTTTTGTCCCCTGTAAAATTTATTATACAGGGTGCACCATGAAGCTACTCCATCTAATTCTTATTTTCAATTGAGTCCTTTTTATCAACCATGACACGAGAATAAGTAAATATTTTTAATAGTTGTTAAGGACTAATAAGCCAGAGATTTATTTTTGTGATATGTTGCGCAAGTATTAAGCAAATTTTACTGCGCTAGATCAAATGGAGAGTTAAATTTATCTTTTAGTCAATTTTTGGAGATACATTTAACTCTCAGACAGACATAAGTTTTGATTCGAAGATTGTTTGTTCTGTAAACGGTGTGTGTGATCTGACATAGTAAAGAGAGTATACAATACGCTCAGGAATAGTTTACGATAAGCAAAAATTGTGTATTTTATATATTTCATTTTAGAGTACTTAAAAAAAATTTACAGATGTACCTAGGCCGGTACTTGTATATATTTTATTCTATTATTGTCCCAATGTGGGGCTTTGTATATGAAAAGAACAAAGAAAATTTATTGTTGTATATAATCTTTGATTACCGCACTTATGTGTGGGTCCTAAAAGTAATGCTTTAAAAGCTGCGCAATTGTATCTATAGATATTTTTACCTTGTAACTAGGTGCTGGTTAATATTTACGTACAAAAAGAGTATGTATTTTTTGAGCTGATTTTTTCATAAATATTTTCCACGCCCTGTATTAAATTTGGTTGACTTTTTTCTCAGCCCAATAATATATTATTTTGATCTGAAGTTGTTACCATATTAAATTTATCGATGAAAGTGTGATAATAATAGTATTTCGTACCTGTAATTTTGCTTTTTTTAAATTGTTGTAGCTTATGTAGAGCAAATTTGTTTGAAAATACATATCATATTGTTATTGTTTGCTCTAGGTAAGCCTCATTGTCCAAAAATCAATGCAGAAACTTTTTACTATAATTATTGTTTTGGGACTATAAAGTCTAGTCATATAGGTCTTTTGTGACCGCAAAAAAAAAGTTGTATGTATTAAATACAGAAAATGTACTTTATATATTTATTTGAAAAGAAAAATAACAATAAATATTTATTTCTAAAAAGAGTTTTGTATGATAATTCTTAGGAAAGTTGAGTACACAGGAAAAATTAAACGAGTACCAATAGAGAAAATGGATTACTGTATATTGGTCTTGTATTAACAAAGAAAACAAAATAAAATTTGCGTGATTGTAATATGACGTCATACAGGAGACTAGCCGATCAGTGATGTGGCGATTAGGGAATTTTGTTACAGTTTCCAAAATTCTCCAAATTATTGGCGCCTTTTATAATTATGAATTCTAGCTTTGCAGGGACCTTCTGCATTGGCGCCATCTATCGATTAAATATCCCACATCAATATATACGCTGGTTGCCAAATTGTTCAGCATCTACTAGGCTTCGTTTTGACTATGAGAATTAAATTTGTCATAATAATTAATAAAACATATTGTATAAACAACACAAATTAATATAAAATAATTCATCCAAAATCAAATTATTAATTAAAATTATAAAACTAAAATTTTAGAATCCATTTGGCAACGTTGCCGGAACAGTTTCCATTCAGGAAATCGTTCTAAATTTTTTGACAGTTGTGTTTGTGTTTTGTGTGCTCTGACAACAAGGAGTGATGTCAAAATATTGAGTTTTTCCTTTTAAAAATAAAATGCCCATATTTTTAAGTGTTTTCCTATAAGATTAGTGTTGTGTTATTGTGTTCCAATTATTTAACGTTAAAAAAACAATTTCCTGAACAATTTAAGTGTTTTGTGAAGTGCTGGAGTAAGAAACTGGGACACATTTTGGAGGTAGGTGTGTAAATAAACTAAAATTGGGAATTGTTAGTATTTTAGTAGCTTATTTGTGTATTTCCATGCTCGTTCTACAATCTACAAGTTTCTCTACAGTCTGCCAATTATATGGCTGAGCTAGTAAATGTAGGATGTTACCTATTTCTTGGAAAAAAATAGCCTAGGTGCTTTTGCCTATAATTACTTAATAATATCTTTTCCATTTAAATATTTGTGTTCTTATTGGTGTGATTTTCAACTCATCAGCTGTTCTAACTGTTCCAGAGTAGTGCTTGAGTCTAATTTTACTTTTGTATTTGGGAGAGCTTGTATATAGGTATAGTTTGCAATAAAAATATATTAATTATAAATTAAATAGAATGTAATATTAATAAATCAGAAAACACTGGAATTGGTGTTTCTGTAAACCTCAAAAAGAAGTCTCAATCACACTGGAATTATTGTTTAATTTATTACTAATCGAGGGATTATTTGAAGGAAACTTTTACTTTTAATCTTTATCAAAATTATGGTAGAAAACTCAAAAAAATCAAAGATTTTATTGTATTTTTGGTTGGGTTTGGGTGCAAGAATGTTGACCTCTCTATTTGTTTTGCAGCAGTTTTATTTGCTATCTCAGACTATTTTGTATTAAATTGCACGCTTCTAAATAGTGACACAAATTTTGATTATTCTTGGCGCTTGAGTGGACTTTTAATTTTGGTGTCTGACCATTAAGAGCCCAAAGCAACAAAAAAGAACGATACAATAAATTCAATGAGTGAGAAAGTGACAAAAACACTGTAGAAAAACAAATTGTGCACATTTTTTTTATCCTACTACTTTACTTGTGTCTCTCTTCCACTGATTGAATTTATGATATCGTTCTTTTCTTTATTATTTTATTATTCCAGGCTCTTGATTGGCCAAACTCAGAAATTAGAAACCCACTCAAGCACTGAAAATATTGAAAATTCAAGTCACAATTTTCCATCCTACTTTATCTGTGTCTCTTTCTAACTGATTCAATTTTTTACATTGTTATTGAATATTCTATTAGGTCGATTTCTGTAGAAATCAAAAACCAGTGAAAGCGAATTTCATTGGTTGGAAACAGTCAGAAACAGCCAGGAAAACTAGTTTCAACCAATGAAATTCACTCTGACTGGTTTGTAATTTCTGCAGAAACAGACCTATTATATCAGGTTCTTGATTGGTGAGACACAAAAATCACAAGTTTACTCAAGGGCTGGGAATGCGTATAATTGAATTTTTCCTACCTTATTTGTGTCTTTCTCTTACTCATTGAATTTCTTATATCGTTGTTTTTTACTCTATTATTCCAGGCGCTCGAGAAGACTTTGTCTTCTAACTGTGTGTAACCAGTCAAAAGTCTGAAATAAATGACAAAAAAACAATGCAAGAAATTCAATGAGTAAGAAAGGGACACAGATAAAGTATGAAATAAACTTGTGAGGCGAATAGGGTTCTTGCACAGAAAATTCAATTGATTATTGTTTATTGCAAACTCGATTGCAAACTGTAGAAAATCGAAAAAAAATCGTTACTTTTTTTTTTATTTCGCCCAAATATGATTATTCCGGAAGTTATACAAATATTAAGTTTTGTATATATAGATATACTGAGCATGTGCGACGTCACTAATTTATATGATAAGTGACGTCATAGGCATATTTCATAGCGTTGTATCTCCGTCAATTTTTGTCTAAGAAGAAAACTAAAAAACATGTGTTGACTTATTTTTCATGGACTATCGAAATCAGCAATAAAAAAAATTTGATGCAAGGAGCCTATTGTGATTATTCTTGATGCTTTAGTGGACTTTTAATTTCTGTGTCTAACCATCAAAAGTCTGGAGCAGCAAAGCAAGAAACAACAATATGATAAATTCAACAAGTAAGAAAGTGATGCAAACAGAGTAGGGAAAAGAAACTTACATGGGGAAAAGAGAAAAGTCAAGAGCTTATCGAGGAGCTTATTATACTATTATTTTTTCCCAAGATAGATTTTGACATTGAAAACTTTGAAATATGAACAATAACGCTTGACCCTGATTGGTCGCAAAATGAGGTGTTTCTGCAGGTTGACATCAGGTTTATAATAGCGACCAATAAGCGGCATTAGCGACATTGTTTATGTTTCAAAGTTGACAATGCCAAAATCTATCTTGGAAAAAAATCAACCATAGAGTTTTTATGTCTTTCTGAAAAAAAACTAGTGAAAGGAGAATTTTTATTTATTTATTTAGGTATTTAAAGATGAAGTTACAAACACCCCGCAGAGTAATTACATGTAAAGTATGGTAGAGAAAAATATAATAAAAGTACAGTGGGAATCATTGCAATTGGCACACACTATATAAATATCCCTCGTAATGTGTCAAATCTGACACACCAGTAATAGCAAAATGCTGCACTAAATAGATTTATTGGTTAGAATTTTGACTCAATACGGGGGATTTTAAAGAGTGTGTGCCAATTGCAATGATTCCCACTGTACATGCAACACTGCCCTAATAGTTGGGAAGCTGGCGTCAAAAACATGCAAGAGTTTTCGCAAGGCTGATATTTTCAAAATAGGTCGTACTTTAGTGTTAGAAGGCTAGTGTCATAATGCCATAAAATAAAAACTTTGAGGACGTCTGACCCCCTTTTTGCAACGAACTAGACGTCTGACGATTTACATACGTTATCTGACCTTCAAACAGATAATGTGCAAAATTTCTATAAATTTTGAGCTTTGAGAAAACAGTTTAGATGCTTCTTAAAATTACAACTTTGCCCGCGTCCCAGAGCCAGCTGTCCCGAAACGTTGAGTGCTGACTGTACACTAGCATTCTAGCACTAAAGTACGACCTATTTTGAAAATATCCGCCTTGCGAAAACTCTTGCATGTTTTTGGCGCCACCTCCTGGACTATAAGTTCTTTTAAGGAGTATTTACATTCACTTCTAACGGACACGCTACAAACTGCAATACTGGATAATACGCCAAAGTATCAACGTAAATTCTACGGGCATGTTCTTCCTCCATTTATAATTAAAATGATAAAAGTGAAAAGAAAAATGTTCAGAGAATACTGTCAAAACAAAAGGCCGGAAATAAAAAGACACATAAACGAATACAACAAAAACATTCAAAATATGATCAAAGAATACAGAACAAGTAAATGGATTGAAGTTTGCGATGAAGTTAACGAACTAAAAGGAAGAAACTATTTCCAGAAAATCAAAAAATTGTCCAAATACAAGCCATCCTTCAACATACCCACTATCGAGGATAACGGAGAGTCATTCAACACAGACCAAGAAAAAACAGGTGTGTTCAAGCGTCACTTTGGAAAGGTTTTCGAGTACAAGACACATCAGGAGTTCAACAAAGACCAAGAAGCACTCATCAACAACTGGTATCAAGAATTCTTTACAGAAAACTCTTATGAAAACTATGCTGTCAATCAAGAAGACTACTTTAATATCTTAACTAAACAGAAAAATACCTCACCTGGTCATGATTCTATACCCTGGAATATTATCAAAAAGCTAGATTTAACTATACACAAACACATTATCAGGCTATTTGAATTCTGCTTGAGCAATAATCATTTTCCAACAGTGTGGAAAAAAGGCAAAATAACAGTAATTCCTAAAGGTAATCCAGACAAAACAAAACTAAGTAATTACCGACCAATAACCTTGCTACCAGCGATTGGGAAGCTTTTTGAAAAGGTTGTACGGAAGGTTCTGGACTCCTATGTGAGCGAAAGCATTCCCAAACATCAATTTGGTTTCTAAACAAAAAGATCCACCCTCCATCCTCTGACAATTTTGATGTCCAATATACAAACAATGAAACATGAGAACAAGAAATCGGCAGCAGTTTTCCTAGATATCCAAAAAGCCTTTGACAGTGTCTGGTTCAAAGGTCTTTTATACAAATTGTTTATTCTCAAAGTACCCAAACATCTGGGCCGGTATTCTGGTTTTCAAAAACGCTCACCGCTTTCTAGTCGCTCGGCACTTTAAATGCAAATTTACATTGAAAGTGCCGAGCGACTGAAAAGCGGTGAGCGTTTTCGAGAACGAGAATACCGGCCCAGATCTGTCTAATTAAGAACTTCCTAGAAAACAGAGAGCTATTCATACAGATAAACTCAATATGCTCAGAAATATTCTATCCATCACAAGGCGAACCTCAAGGCTCACCACTATCTCCACTATTATACAATGTATTCTGCTACGACATATTCAATTCAAATGCACTGGGGGTCGAAGACGCAGCTCGCCCAAATTTGAAGTGCACTTCGAAGTGAACTTCAAATTTACTTCAATGTGAATGGATCTGTGATACCGCCATATGACAAGCACGTCAATTTCAAGACAAATTGGACTTTGAAGTGAATGTAAATGCACCATTATACTTATACTAAAAATATCTATTTGACTTGTAGCTATCATAGTGTTGCGTGCATCCATCATCCTTTTAAAAAGAGATATGACCATATAATATGACACTCTGCCCTGCATAAAATACATTTGGATACTTATATCAGTCTTTAGTTAATCTAAGGCACCCTAAATTTTATATAGTTAATAATAAGTTGACAATTTCTATACTTTAAGCTATTTACAACGCAATATACAAATAGCACTACCTTCGCTGGACCAATAATTCAAACTCGAATAGAATAGAATAGAATAGAAAAATACTTTATTGTCAAGAATACAGGTTCTGGGCTCTATCGACGTCCCCTCTCTATTGATTTCGAAAAGAGAGAAGAAGACAGGAAGTGCCATAGCAATATCGATAACGATCTCTATCCGTTACAGAATTCCGCCTCTGTACACACTCTATACCATATAGCTCATGTGAATAAAACAAAAGCAAATGCTTTTACTTAAGTTTTTTGAGATAAACATATTCAGCATCAATGCAGCAAAAAGAGACGGAGATAGAGTAAAAGCATTCGCTACACTTTATTCACACAACTGACTGACTAAA